GTGAGCGATAAACGCTGGTAATAAGCGCGTATTGTGAGACCCCATGTGTAGGTACCACGAACCTGACAATTTTTTTACCGCAAATCAGCTATGCGGTCTAATTTACAGACTGAGTTAAACTCTTACTTTTCTCTTACTGTTTCTGGACTTCGGTAGCCCCTTAGTACTAGACGGCCACTGAGCTCGTTCAGTCTAAGTACTTAGATCTAGTACAGTGAAAATAATGAAATTCATACTTGTTCGAAACCTTTTTAATTCTACCTTCGATCTTGATTTTTTTCAAGACATCGTACAACTTTGTAGCAAATTCTTTACGGCTTTACGGCTTTCAAAGTGCATTTCTCTCCAACTTAAAATGAAATATAAAATTAATGTCAAAACCTTATTTAAATTTTTAAAATTTAGCACGGCTTCTCATATTACATTGTATTCTTATTTTAAGTACGCAAATATCATAAATATAGTTCTTTCAATCTCAGATCAATTGGATGCGATATAAAGATTCCGTTTATCCAAAGAAATATTGATTTACAATTTACTCATAAAACGATAATCTTAACAAATCAATATAATTTAACATAAATCAATTGATACAGTAGAACCAATCTTCCAGTTCCTTCTTGAAGAAGGCACAGTTCCTAAGATACTGATACTGGTTACCTCATTGAACAGCCAGACTCACTATCTGTGCAAAGCGTTTGGAGATTTTGATTAATATTAAAAAATATTGATTAATATTAAAATAGTAAGTTTTTTTATTGCTTAAATGGGTGGACGAGCTCACAGCCCACCTGGTGTTAAACGGTTACTGGAGCCCATAGACATCTACGACGTAAATGCGCTACCCACCTTGAGATATAAGTTCTAAGGTCTCAAGTATAGCTACAACGGCTGCCCCATCCTTCAAACCGAAACGCATTACTGCTTCACGGTAGAAATAGGGTGGTGGTGCCTACCCGCGCGAATTCACAAGAGGTCCTACCACCAGTAAGTAGAAATATTGATTAATATTATATTGAAAAAAAAAACTGATTCCTAGCTGACACTAAGTGACTGCAATTGGTAAGTTTACAAAGTAACAAAATAACTGTTCGAGTATTCAATAAATCGAACGCAATTAACTCACCGTGTCCCTTCCTATCAATGTCATCGAGAAGCACTACGCACACTGTATCCCAATAACCTATTGTTTGAAACGAACCAACTAAAAGTCACGGCGGCTCCCATATTGGCATATTGCAAGCCCTACATGGCGAGGACCTAATGACCTCCGACATTTCAACCGATAGCTCCATTTCACTCTATTCTGGCGTGTAAGAAACAGACAGAAGATCACCATAATAGAATATCTGTGTTTGTTTTATTCGATTTGTAGGCGCAGTAACATTATCCGTTTCTCATATTGTTTCTTTGGCAGCATTGTCTTGGCTTTGAACTCGGCTTTTACGTGTTTCCACTTTCGTGTTCTCGTATGTTGGTAATTAAATAAGCTATTGGAAATTCATTATTTGTGTTTTGGTTTTGATACATGAAATACTAAAAAGTAAAACATATTTCTATAATATATTTGATTGATCAAAAAATATAAATTAAAAATATTCGTTTCCTTTCCGAAGTTTAGTCAATAATTGAGGAGATTTGTGTAAATTACCATTACTTATCTCATTGATAGGTTTGTGTACACTTTTTACGCTTCTTGCTTATGAGATTTAACGACAGGCATAGAATCTTAACTTAGATTGAAATCTTGAAATATTTTTTTTTTATTTGTACTAAAATAAATTCTCAATTTGAAATCATGAAAAATCTAGAGTTTTCTTCTCATATTGAGATTTAATCCTATTTGATGAAGTGTTCCTCATATACTTATAGTATACAAGAACGATTTCGAAAAACTTCTAACAAGCCTTTAAGCACCGATTACAAAGCTTTTACCAATAATGGCTCAAAAATTATACAGCAAAATAATGTCCAATCATTGCTCAAAAGTGGTCTTAATGACCTTAATACACGTCCTTAGTACATTTGGGGCCAGAATTATTGTTCCACCAAAAGTATAATTTGTACTTTCAAAGATGAATGTAAATGATATACATCACAACGAATTGAAGACAATCCTAATTAACTGTCGATAATTTTCTAATTTATTCGTTGTCCGATTTATATCGTTCAAATAAAAATAAAAAGTGTAACTTAGAAAAGTAATTATTGTTTCAAGGCAACGTTTTGGCTGATTGGTGTAATACTTTGTTGGACTTTGGATTACTGATACTTAAAATATTATGTATATGATTTAGGATGATGTTGCCACTGCCGCGCTTTTGTAGTGCATCCACAATGTTTGCGACATCTCACACTGATGACTTCTTTGCAATAATGCGGAAGAGAAGTGCATCGTTATTGCGTCGAGTCCGTGACAGTGGCAACAGTCTTTTGAGAATCATATCGAGCAAGATCGAGGGACTGCTGATCAATAGCCTTTGCAGTAGGCACTTGGAAGGAGAAAAAAATAAATAAATAAAATGTAATGGTATAAAATGTATATAATGATAGTTATGTGTTAGATTTTTTAAGTTACTAACATGGATTATAAGTAATTATTACTAACAAAATGTTACTGCTTTAAAAAAAAAAAACTGAAATAAAGTATTAATAATATTAATAATAATAGTAATCTAGAAACAGTTTACACTGGAAATCATTCAAGAACGGGTGTTGTATAAGTAGCTATTAAAAAAAGCACGGATGTTGCAATTTCAACTGTAACTTAGTCAGATCATTCAATACATGCATTCGTATATGATATGAGAATCTTACCACAATATTATAATTAACTAGCGGCACGCTCCGGCTCCGCTCGGGTCTTTAACAAAAATTTCAACGATATTTGAAGTTGTTTTATTTTTTTTAAATAATAGAACACTTATTGCGGCATAGCTGTAATAGTTAGACATAATATGCTGTCGCGACACTTTTTGTAAATAATAATGTGTTCTACAAAGTTGTAGTATATTATAATTTATTCTATCCTCAATAGTTTTCGCAGGACACGCGATGTAAAGAATATTGGAGTTTTAGTAAGGATCCCTAATTTTTTCAAAAAAGATGATAGCCTATGTCGCTCGAAAATAGTGTAGCTTCCAAATAGTGAAAGAGTTTTTCAAATCGGTCCAGTAGTTTCGGAGCCTATTCAATACAAACAAACAAATCTTTCCTCTTTATAATATTGGTACAGATAACTATTTAATACAAGCTGTGAATTAGAAAAATACACAAGAACTAAATCATTTATTTCTGAGCAATATATTATACATCTAATAATTCAAGTTAAATAACTTGAGAGATGCTTGAAATCTGTGAAACCACTTAATATGACGTTAAAAATGTAAATGGGCAATAAAAGTTCGAATTATGTATAAATTGACCAATGGTAGTATCCAATGAGGCGTCATAACAAAAAAGGCCATAACTTGTTAGCGTTTTACGACTACTGGTCGTCACTCCTTCGAACCGTATTTGACAGTTACGAATAGGGTTGCCAATTTAAAAATAAATGAGTCTTTGAATAGTTATTATGAAGATAATCCATCCATAATAAATAGATCCAAAGATGGACTACTTGTGTTAAATGGTTACCGGGACACGTCATCAGAACGTCAATTGTGAAGTGGTTTTATTGACTTTATAACAGGATTAGTACAACAGTTTCTGTCGTTAACGCAAAAGATAATGACATTAGGGCTTAGGAAGTTAGAAAAGTTAGAAAAGATAGGTCAGGTCTCTTGCTACAGATAACGAAGGGAATATGGTAGATAAGATAATAATAGGGGCAGAGGCTGTAGACGCAAAATCGTACCTTTTTGCTAATATTTGGATAGACTAAGTGGATTACTTTAGATAGGTAGGCCAAAAGAAATGAAAACAATTAAATCATCTTGACATTATCACCGGTTTGGAATCCAGCTAGACAACAGACAAAAATCCGCAAGAAGCGGATCCGAAAAGCAAGTCCGCATTTTTTCAAATATATGTTTTTACATCACACTACAGATCATGTTATACACAATTCAAATATGTTCATAAACTATACAATAAGTTGAAAATTGGGATAGTTGTTGTGGAAGATGTCACATATTTTGTGAATGGTTTCATGATGGTTCAATTCGCAATGGTTTTGTGAATGGTTTCACTAAATATGGGTATATTGCTTTTTGATGTGGTGAAGCATATTTCACCCAACTATGGTCGGGTTGTCCTAATTATTAATATTCTTAATTAAGCTGTTTAAAATGATTTGTGGTACAAATTTTGCTTTCTCATACTGATTTTTATAGCATAGAATTTAAAGTACCTATGAAAAAAAAACTAAATTATTACATTTGACAAACTGTTTTCTGGCTTCAACATAATGACACCTCCAAAGCCAAACATGAATATTTCGAGGACTCTCTTACGATTGGCGTTTCTATTTTGTTAACACTGATTTTTAGCACACCATTTTTGTTTTATGATTGTGTTAACTTCTCCTTTTTCGGCATACGGGCCAGCCAGCCAATGGCATGCAGTGTCAGTGTTTAGCGCACATTAGATGTATTTATGTAATTATTAGAAATTTACAGCCCACAAATATGTACAATGTTTTCCTGTAGATTTGCGACTCATGGCCCACCTGGTACTAATTGGTTACCGAAGCTCACAGAGATCACATCATTACTGTCACAACCATTAAAATATCAGGCAGAAGTATTTTTTCTATTGTATAAAGACTATCCCATCTTTGAAGAATATAACGCATGATTGCTTAGCGGCTTAAATACGATAGTGGCACTAATACGGGTCCTTAATGCGCCCTACCACCAGCAACTGCAGTTTAGCCAACACAGTATTTCGCTGTAGTGTTTATAGAATGATTTGAACGGTTGAGTGATGTAAATTTTAAATATTTTTTTTATAACAATGAAATTGAAAAGAAATTTAATTAAAGGTATTCTTTTTTCTAGGCTGGTGATGTGAGTATCTGGATCGTGCGTCGAGCCAATGATGACAACTGTCGTGGCGCGAGGGGACGCCGACCGGAGCGTACCGATAATACGTCTACACACCCTAACTCATCATGTTCACCAGGTAAGCTAACTCGCAAATGTTACTGTGCTTTTTAATGAGAAGCAATATTGAAATCTTGACTCACTTAATTATTGGACGCCTGTTCCCATTTTGTATTAAAACATAATCTTCTTTTTTTTTTTTTTTTTTTNCTGCCTACCGCTTAATACTCTCCACAAGCCTCGTTTGAAGAAGGACATGTCATAGCGCTCGGGAAACACCGTGGAGGGGAGCTCATTCCATAGCCGGAATTCTATCTATCTTTCTATCAGTTTAAAGAGATCCACCACTGAACATAGGCCTCCCTTTTTTTATCTATGCTGATAGCCTTGAGAGGCTATATCAGCTTCTTCTTGACGTGTAGATAAGCTCACGAGGCTCAAACCGGGTGTGTTGCTAACACTGGCCCTAGCAGTGGTTCGCAGAATCTACCACCGGATCGGAAATGCGACCCACTGAGAAGATCCGGCGAGAAACTCAGTGGGCTGTGTCTATGGGTTAATTCACTCGTCGAGCCCTTCGTCGCAAGCGACGGGTTGGACGTGGACGGTGACCGGTGCTTATGGTGGTATCTAAAAGCACCGTTAATGGATCGGGAGCACACGTAATGACGTAAGGCCTCCCTCAAGCCTTGCCATAACTATCCATCCTGCGTTGCTTGTATACAGCGAATTCCCGCGAACCTCAATAGTTTGTCGGTCCACATTTTGGAAAACATTATATAAATAATAGATAATAAAAGTTCACATGGAGTGGATTACTAAGCTAGCACTTTCGCCTGTGTTATGAGTGTCGGAAACATAAGAACGAGACATGAACGAGTAGGTACACTCTGCCCCATTACTATTGCTAAATTCGTCCAAATTGCCTTATGTTTCGTCACATGTATATTTTAGTGGACGTGCAAAATGTTCGTGACCAATCAATTGGATATTCCATCCGCATTTACTCGTGGTCCTGTTATATTGGTTAGACTCCTTGAAAGTGACGTGCTTGTACTGGTATTACATCTAATAGATATTTTGAGCGATTACTCAATGAAAAAAGTAAATTATTTTGAACGATGTTTTACCTATTTTGAAGGGCAGATATGATTAAAATTCATGTTCAAGTGTTACTATTTCTATGTAACAATGTTCAACGTCTCGATTCTGATTCCATAAGGCTTCTCTTTGTCAAAAATTAATTATCGCGTTAACTGTCTTCTAATAATTTCTGAAGACATCTCGGCACACAGGGGAGCACTTTCTTTCAGTTTCTTTAATTTTTTTGTTTGTTTTGGCGGCTTTTTTTTGTGCAATGAATACTGTCACTATTTTGACAATCCGTTACACGTGTTACAAAACCATTGCGACTTCATCATTCTCTGGCATTGGGCGGTGGCAATTAAAGGCGTGTAGGTAGGTAGGAGCTCATAACTCTGTAGAAAACAACTGGAATGTAAGTGAGTCTACCAGCTACAAAAATGATTGTCTCCTTAACATCTGATTCACAAAACTTTACCCCACATTTTCCGAGTCAGTCATCCAGTATGTCAAAATCGACAACATGACAAAATTATGATGAAATAAACGTATTCATCGACGTATGTGTCGCTTCTTTGAAAACCATTCAAATTACTTAGAATTTTTATTTTACGCTGAAATGTTTATTTTCACACGTCGCCGGTCCAGAGTGCTCTGTGACGTAAGGTGCTAAAAAAATTTTTCAGCGTCACTTTGTACAAAAAAAAAACCACAAAAACAGATTTCGTATCTCTGAGTGTCATTATCGAATACGCCTCAATGTTGCTAGCCTAAAACTAGACTCGTATTTCTATATGTCGTCGTTAGATATTACATTTATTTTTTGTTTAGACATGAAATTACATAGTTTATTTTGTACTCGTCGTTTGGCGCCAAGGCGTCGTGACGTATGTGACAAGAACTCGCATTATGTATTTGATCGTTTAGTTAATATTATGAAATGTTTTGGGCTATTTCTTATATATTTATGTTCATTTCTGAGCACTCGACCCTGGCGTTAAGTGCCTACATTGCAACACGGATCTTGCCGCCAGGAGATATAAGAGTGAAAATAGAAACCGATACTATTTAAGCCGAAATCTTCGAGCGCGTTAGTAAAATGTACCCTCATAGCGAGACACAAGGTTGTCGAAGCCCCGATTACATTAAAACAACAGCTTTTCAGGACAAAATAGAGTTATGGTATCTATTTACCTTTAACAAAACCCATCACCCATTAGACTTCTTGATTGCGAGCTCGTGCCATGTATATAAATACAGGAATTATGTTATATTATATTAAATAGAATGCCGAATGATGCTTTGAGAGATAAACCGGCACCCGGTCCACCAGATAGACTTCACAACGAAAATTCCAACACCAAGTATGACACGTGAGGTTTAAGTCGCAATTGTTTGTATTGTATCACGCTTGTCTCGCTCTGTAACATCGTCCCGAACGTGCTAAGTGGCGGTATCCTCTTGAGTGAGCTTACAACACAGCTCTAGTAGTCGTAATTAGTAATTAGCAATTACTACTACTATTTTTTTTTTATTGCTTATATGGGTGGACGAGCTCACAGCCCACCTGGTATTAAATGGTTACTGGCGCCCATAGACATCTACAATGTAAATGCGCCACCCACCTTGAGATAAGTTCTAAGGCCTCAGTATAGTTACAACGGCTGCCCTACCCTTCAAACCGAAACGCATTACTGCTTCACGGCAGAAATAGGCAAGGTGGTGGTATCTACCCGCGCGGACCCACAAGAGGTACTACCACCAGTACTGAACATAACCCTACCCAAGACTCGCCACAGTGACCGGTCCTGTGCTACCTGCATACAGCATTAGCAGTAAAAGGTACTATTCGAATAATAATACAAAAAAAAAAACTATCGAAAAATACAGATATAAGCAGATCATACGGCCCACCTGATGGTGAGTGATCACCGTCTCTGATGGACGTCGGCATTAATAAGACAAGTAACAGTCAAGCCGTCACAAAAAAAAACTCTTATAGTGTTTTCAAAACAGATGACTTGCTTATAGCTCAGCGTCGTTCATTTACTGGACTGTACCTATTTTTATATGTATATATTTATATATGTATATCTATATATTTATGTATATGTATGTATTTAAGTACTATGTATTATGTATGTTATATATACACATAATATATGTTTAAGTAATATCCCCTTCACACTACACCTACCAAGCTTCATCTCTGCACTCCCCTAAGGTAGACTGTTAGAGAATGTCTATGGCATTAAGTCCGCCTTTATACTTTCTAGTATAAGAAGTTATAAATAAATAAATAAATAAATAAATAAATAAATAAATAAATTACATTTGACGACATCCATTACTCGAATAGGTTAAAATTGTCTTAATAGTGGTAAGCTGTTTTTTGTAATAAATTTCAATATTTTTATTCACGAAACATTATTAGAGATACGAGTTATATGCCTCTTTCGATCGCTTATTTTTAAGCACCACTATGTACATAGTAGTAGTAGTAAGACTGCGTTGTAATATATCTCCGAAATAAGAACAGCTCTATTTATAAAGACAAGAACGATAACGTAATGATTTGCTATGATATACGACCCAGCATTTTGGTTTTTTTCCCCATGTTTATGACAGACATCTCAATAGATTGTCCTTTTAGAATACCTTAGAATTATGTATTTTCTTTTTTGCCATTGTAGGCAGAATAGCATAAGACCCACCCGATGATGAGTGGTTATCGTTGCTCATGGCAATGCCGGGGGCACAGACAGGGCGCTGCTTAAACTTCACTTCTAGCGCGTGTGAATTGCGCATACATATATGTTTTTGTTAAATGTATACATACCTTCAGTCAATAGATATTAGTCCTGATTTACATAGGTTTTTCAATGCTAATGCAAAATAGATTAAAAGAAAATATGTGGTATAACAAACTTGAGACAACTTTTACGATTTAAACCCGCGTTTTTATTGTAAAAATATTATTTCTGACATTGCGAATACAGTTTTCCTGGTCATGCAGTCATCCGTAAAATTTTAATTATGTCTACGAATGGCGAAAATAACGAAAATATTACGTAGAATAACATATTGGTTCTAGTACGTTCTACAACGTTCGATTGAGTGTTCGAAAATACGCGGCAATCAGGTAGTGCACACGCGAATCTGTGCTTTCATAAATTGCACCTTATTATATTGCAATTTTATTATACAATAAAGATTACAACTGTTAGTTATTGCATAAATAATACGAGTACTGGTTGTAGATTATAGGTTGGCACTAATTGGCACCGCCATCTTGTTTATTTCTGTTACTAAGCAACCATGATAGTTATTATTATACAATTGATATAAAGATATCATGTTTCAACTATATTTGTGATAGATATTCACCCAGATGTGACTACGAGTATTAGTAGCGCATAGCATAGCTAGCGTCCATGAGCATTGGTCACTCACCACTAGGTAGTCGTATACTCGTCTACCTATTGAGAAAAGGCTGATGCTTTTTCCGTTACATTAACTGCTGTCCATAGGATTTCTGGCCGTAGGCCCGCTTGTCTATCAGTTCTAATAAATAAATAAAAAATCCCAGTTCACATAAATAGTTTTTTAAACCATCAAAATTCAATAAACATTCGTATCGGTCGATCAAACTTTGATCCCGTTATTCGTTGCATCACGCCATTGATCATGCACCTAGTGGTACAAATAAGTATACAATCAGATGTCACATGGTACATTTAATCCGGGCACGTGGACAGAGTTCGATGTCGGTTGATAGCGGCCGACGTAAGCCGATCAGGGCAGGTTCATTTGAAGAGTACGCTTGCATTGAAAAGTTCTATTGTAAAAAATATTAATCAAGAAATGATACAAATTAAAAATCAGTTTTGGTAAATCTTAACAATATTTATTGATTATTTTGTATGCACGTACATGAGTAGTACATGAGTAATCTGTAATAAAATTCAATTGAGGCTTCGATTCGTGTTTCAAGAT